AATGTTAGGGCCAGGCAGCATTTCAGAGCGGGAAAATGGCAGCCTGATGACCCCACGGTGAAGTGCGGGGGGTGGGTGCTGATGAAACATCCACTGGCCGGGCACCTCCACACATCACTTCCTCTTTCTGTGCTCACTTCTCCCGGCTGAGAAGTGACCCCACACACCTAAGTCCCCTGCCCCCCCCACCCCGGCCATGGCTGTTCAGGGTGTCCGCTGTCCTCACCGCCTGCGGACATAGGGCAAGGGCAGAGAGTGGGGAGCAGTTGCCAGACCCCGGCTTTGGAAAACCAGAGCAGCTCCGTGGGCTTTGGGCCACGTGCTTGAGGTGAAGAGGAACACAAGGCAGGGTGCTCCCTGATGCCCAGGAAGAGTTTTGTGCATTGGGAAGGCCGAACGGACGCGCTCCTTTATGCCACACGGACCCCCTCAAGGTGCTGGTTTTCATCTTTGCTGAGGGGTGTGGAACCTCTTTCAGCCGTGCCTGCATGTTTTCTAAGTTTGTCACAAACTTCCTGTTTGGGTATGGTCTGAGGCTCGAAGCTTTGTTGTGTTTTGAAACCCGGGCGTTCACAGAGGTCCGGCGCTTCTCTCTTAGAGGCTGTGGGGTGGCCCCTTTGTTCTCCTTCCTTTTGCTGACGGTTGCCATCTTTCTTTGCAGACCTTCTCTCTGGGAAGTGCCCGGTAGCCTCTGTTCTTGTTCTCATTATCCACGGGTGAGAGCTGTGAGGTTTGAAGGCTGGGAGGAGGGAGGGGGGCAACATTTACTGGGCCCCTTATATAAAGCCAGGCACTGTGCTAGATGTTTTTATACGTGTGTTGTATTTAGGCCTCAGAGCAGCTCATGCGGACCCAGGCTCAGAAAGGTTAAGTGACCAGCCTAAGATTGGCCAGCCCCTGGGTGACAAAGTCAGGATTGGACCCCAGGCCTGACTCGAGAGCTCCTTATTTCAACTATGTCATGAGGAACCCCCTGAGCCTTTGGTTCCACCGGTTTGAGGAGATCTTGATTTCTTATTGGAACTCTTGGCAGACAGCATCACCTTGACCCCTGTAGTTTTCTCCCAGATCTTGTTATTCAGGGGCTGCCCATTCTCTCCGTACGGGGTATGATTTGATGGCCCTTGAGTGTTTTGCTGACTTTGATCTTTCCCATTCATCCTCTCCCTGGGACCCCACGAAGCCCAGAATTACTGTGTGGTCTGTGGCTGATGACTGAAATGGGTTAGGGCCAACTCCCAATTCCCCAGAAATGGAGTATCCTTTTTCCTCCTTCTGGCCACCTGGCACTGACCATTCCTCTGGTCACCACAAGCCCCACTGAGCTGGATTTCTCACATCTCAAGCTCTTCCCTTGAAGAGGGAAGAAGAGATGATATCTTTCTATGTCTATGAAAGCATGTGAAGGGGTAGCTAAGGAAGGATGCCAAGACCTTGGATATGTGGGAGCAGGAAGAGGAGGGGGAGCTAAATCTAGCGCTCTCCTTCTCACTGGGATAGCTCTTACAGGATGCCACACTCCGGGTGCTCCTGCAAAGGAACAATGAGTACACTTCCAGAAACTTCAAGACGGCCCTGTGTCCCTTCTTTTGCCCATTCCAGTTCTCTTCTATTTTCTGAAAAACTTCTACAGCCGTATCGTCTGCGCTTCATCAGCATTTTTCTGTAGATCAAGCAATGTTTACCAGTTAAGAGACCCTATGTTGAGCAATGGATAATTCCAAGCATTTTCAACACAAATATCACTCACCCTCAAAGGGTTTGCAGTCTACAGGGAAGGGAAATGCAGTGGGCTCAGAACAGCGGGGAGGGCTAAGAAGCTGGGGTGGTGCCGCTCAGTGGGCTGCAGGAGAGGGCCAAGAGCCAGGGGTGAGAGGGGCAGGGCTGCAGGGGGAGGAAGGTGTGGGGCCCTGGGGCCTGAGGGGCCTGGAAAAGGGAGGGGCGTACCGGATGGGGTGGAGCAGAGGGTGCCTGTGGGAAACAAGATTGAAGAAGTGTTTGTGAAGGATCCCAAGGAATGGCTGTGGAATTGGAAATTTTCCCGCCTCGGGAGCTGTCAAAGCCAACTGAACAGGATGGGGCTAGGTAAAAACGGTGCTGTAGGAAGGCTCACCTGGCTGGCTGCCCTGGAAACGGGGAATGCCGGGAGACGAGTAAGAACACATCTATCCTGTTGAATTTTAGGAGAGAAACTTTGAAGGCTTGGGCTGGGGTGGTTGACATGCATATAGAAAGGAAGACCGAGAAATGAAAGGTTTCAAGCCCCAGCTCTGCCCCTTGCTGCCCATGTGACCTTGAGCAGGTTACTTAATTTCTTGAATCTCCATTTCATCGTCTGTGTGTGGAAGCTAATAACACTTCACAGGATGGTCGTGTGAGGGTTTGGCTTGTGTGGTGGCAAGCACACACGTTGTGGCCGGTGCTCAGTGGAGTCTGAGTCGTCCTGTGGGGGATGAGGCCCAATTTGTGACCTGTGGGGCGTCAGGGGAGTGTTCAGAGGGCTTTCTAGGGGCCCAGAGCCTGGGACAGTGATGCAGCCTTGACAGAAGTGGACGGAGCCTGTTGGGGCCTCCGGATTCAGTGTAGGGAAGACTCTCCTAATCAGGCTGCTGAGGGCCTGTCCAGAACCCCCACAGCCCTGCGGATTGTGTGTCCGTGAAACCACGGCTTCTGGGTTCAGCTGGGCCCTCAGTGCTGCTGGCCAGCAGCCAGCTCTCTCTGCAGCCCTGGTCCCCACTGGCCACCACGCCCTCAGGTGAGACACTGAGGGCATAAAATTTAAGAGGCTCCCGGTTTTAGGGCTGCCCCAGCACCTGCATGATTCCCCTTAGTGGAATGTTCCACACCGCGCCCCCTGTCGAGCTCCTGTCTGCCCTTCTTCACTCAGGAGACAACCTGGCTTCATTTATTCATTGACAAATTCCAAACAGCTCAGCTTTGAGCCCACTCAGGTTCCTGCCTCTGCTCCCTTGTGGGTACTGACATTGTGGCTCATCCCAACCTGATTTCCTTCCACTCAGAGATGGACGCATCCCTCCTCCTGGCCAGAGAGAACCTTCTTCCTGTACATGAGTCCTCCCCATCTCCTGTAGCTCCTGGGACCTCACCCCCTGGCTGGGGTTTCAGCTGGCTGAAACCAAACCCCAAACCTTCACCCTCTCTAGTTCTCATTCCCTTTTCTCCTTCCCTTAGAGACAGGTGTCTGGAAAGAATCTGCCCTCAGGTTTTGCTCCTTAGTTGACACAGCCCACTCGGGCTGCTTTCTGCCTGTGGGAGGTGTGCTGGGCCCAGGGAAGGGACCTAGTTGGATTTGCTGCAGAGGGCTCCCGCCTTCCACAGGAACTGCCTCCTGTCAAGTCACCCAGTGCCATTCTAGTTCCTCAGGCTTGAAACCCAGGAGTCACCGTGACTCCCCGCTTTCCCTCACACTCCACATCCAGTCTACCAACCAGCAAATGATGTCAGCGGCTTCTTCAAAATACATCCAGACTCACCCCTTCTCATTTACCTCCACCGCCACCCCTTTGGTCCAAGCCAGCAGCTTCTCTCCTTGGATTATTGCAATGACTTCCTAACTGGTCTCCCTACTTCCACCCTTGCTTGCCTTTCTAGAATTCACCTATTATGGGGACTGAATTGTGTTATGAGTTGGACTGCATCTCCCCCAAATTCCTTTGTTGAAGTCCTAACCCCCAGTATCTCAGAATATGACCTTACTTGGAAATAGGGTCATTGTGGATGTAATTAGCTGTTGAGATGAGGTCATCCTGGAGTAGGGTGGGTCTCTAACCAGTATGACTGGCGTCCTTATAATAAGGGGAAATTAGGAAGCACGCACTCACACGGGGAGTACTCCCCTGTGTGAAGATTGGAGCTCTGCTGCCGCAAGCCCAGGAGCTACCAGAAGCTGGGAGGGGGGCCAGGAACAGATCCTTCTCTAGCGCCTTCAGAGGGAGGGAGGCCCTGTGGACACCTTGATCTCGGGACTCCTGGCCTCCAGAACTGAGAAAATACGCTTCTGCTATTTAAGCCACCCAGTTTGTGGTACTTTGTTATGGCAGCCCGAGCTGACTAATACACCATGCTCCCCACAACAGCCTCAGTGATCATTTAAAAATCACTCTTCTGCTCAAAAGACTCGTATAGTGTTTCATCTCTCTCAAAATAAAAGACAAAGTCCTTGAAATGACCTTCGGGGTCCACATGACCTGGCCCAGCCTCTTCCTTGACCTTTTCTTCTACTCTGCCCTTCTCCAATTTTCTCTAGCTAGAATGGCTTCCTCAAACATCATCCCAAGCAAGCTCCTTCCTCAGGACATCTGCACTTGCTCTTCCCTCTGCCCGGAACACTCTTCTCCTCGGGCATCCTTCACTTTCTTCAGGTTCCAGTGACAATGTCACTTTCTCAGTGAGACCCTCCCCCACAACCCCAACCCTTCCTATTCCCCTTCCCCATTGTACTGTTCTTTGTAGCATTTATCAGCACCTGACATTTGTTTAGATTTTTTATCTTCTTCCCTCACACTGGTCTACAAACTCCCTACAAATAAGGGGCATGGTATTATGGTAATGTCCCAGGGCCTGGAACATAGTAGGTGCTCAAGAAATAGTTTCTGAGAGATTTATTTGTGGAATGAAAGAAGCCAAGAGAAATCAGAGGTGCAAAAAGAGGAAGTTGTCCAATGTCAAAAGTAGCAAAGAGTCCAGAAAGATAAGGAGTGAAGTGTCCATTGGGTGTGGCAATATGGAGTCACGGTGACTCCTGGGTTTCAGGCCTGAGGAACTAGAATGGCACTGGGTGACTTTCTCTCCTACATTCTCTTCTCCCTCGGGCACCTTCCTCAGCAGTCTTTCAGGGGCCTCCTCCTGGGCCGGTCCATCTGCTGTTGGATTCTTCAGGGCTCCATCCTTGGCTGCTTCTCCGTTCTCTCCTGATCGATAGGATCTTTCCCATGTTGAAGCCAAATATCCTGAATGTGCTTTTTGGGTCACTCCTACAGGCCCTGGCTCTCTCGGATGCTGAAGGAGGAAGACATGGAAGCAGGACGACCCTGAACGATTAAGCCTCTTAATCCTGAAACAGGTAGCTGCTGTGTAATGTTTTGTGATGAAGGGATCCTTGAAAGCATTCCTTGGATATCTGGGGAATGGAAAATGCCCCGAGAAGGGGAGGAAGGCTGCTGTGGGCCTGGATACTCATAACTTGCTGGGAAAGTTTCTTTGGGAAATGGTCAGCGGTAGTGGATTCACATACTGACATTCAGCATCACTCGGAATGGGGCTGAGGGCATTGTGCCTTGTCTCTCTTGACTTTGCAGAGTTGTGAATATGAGGGAGCCAAAGGACATTCATGGATGGTAGCTCTAGATGTGTTCAGGGGGGATTAGACCTCTCTGGAGAATTGCAGTACAGAAGGCTGCTCTGAGAAACCCCCCAGAGTCTGTAAGAGGCAGATTATTGGACCAAGGAGCCTTTGAACTGGCCCTGGGACATTTCTAGTGGTCTTTTTGTTTGTTTGTTTGTTTGTTTTAAATCAGCTCTAGCCCTGCGTTCTCTTCCATGCTCAGCAGTTTGTCCCTCTAGAAAATGGGCACATAGCTGGGATTTCCCCTGCCAGGCCCCCTCAGAAGTTGTCTGAAGCGTCAGTAAGTTTGTGTATACACAGACTTTTTTTTTTTAAATGTTTAAACCCTGGTGTAGCAAGGGATGGCTGTTTTCCACAATTCTCAGTGACAGCGGGGAAAGGAGGGTGGTGGGTGTCTAATTTGATTCTCTTGGTATGTGCAGGTTATTTTTCTTGGCAAGGGCCACACTTTTCATCTCTCTTATGTGAGACTCAAAGTTGATTGCTTCTGTTTTCTTTTTTGTTGTGCTTGATTTTGATTTAATTTTTAAGCTACCGCGTCTTGGGTTTCCAGTAAGAAACAGATGGTGTATTCAAATGGAGTCATCCAAAAGACTGCCCTGAAGGGACTGTTTATAGTGGTGTAGGCAGGGTTAAGAGAACCCATCACAGGATGTGGAAGTATCCCAGGGCTAGCGGTATCGGGGAGCTGTTACCATGCCTAGTCCTGAAAGAAAGAGGGAAGGATTGGTTATTAGAACTGGAAAGAGAAGCTCCATGGAAAGGTTCTCTCTGGTGGAAGGATGCAGTCAACCTTCAGCAACACAGCTGGGAAAGAGCCAAGAGAATAAATATCCTCACCGAACTCCCTTGTCCTTTCTCCCATCTCCTGATGGTGCCTCCCATTAGGCACACTCAGCCAGAAGCTAGAAGGCAGGGAGCCATACTGATGCTGTCCACAGAGATCAGACCCTTGGGGGGCACAGAGCTGATTGCAGAAGGGGGGATATAGGGGTGCAAATTGGAAATAGCTGACCAAGCAAGAGATGCAGATTGCTTGAATTATATCACAAAGGATGTTTCTATCCAAAGAGGGGTTTTTGTTTGGTGGAGTAAGTGAAACTTTGCATTATAAGGTCAGCCACATAGAACTGTTGGCTGTAAGGGCTGGGAGGAGCAACAAAATTCCTCTAGTCAAACTTCATCCTTTTTACAGTTGGGAAGACCCAGGAAAGTCAGGTGACTTGCCCAAAGCCACTCATGAATTCTTGAAAGTGTTTCTTGAAAACCTGTTACATTTTAAGGAAAAAACCAACACAAAACCACTTCAAACATTTTAGAAACAGTGTCAAGTAAAATCCAAGCACATGGGGAGAAAGCTGTCAATTAGTGCTTTTTTTTCTCATTTATCAGTTTGGATCCTCTGGGGTTGTGACCATCATAAAACCAAACCAAAGGGGCTCCCACAGCACAGGGAATTAATTAATGGACTCGTGTACCTGCAAAGTTCAGGGATGGGATGGACTGCATTGTGGGTGTGAAATAGCTCAACATGACATCAACCATCCAGTTTCTTTCCATCTCTCTGTCACTCTTCCATGATGTCAGTTCATCCTCAGGGAGGCAGAATGGCTGCGGAAGTTCCTCGGCTCATAGTTGCATCCCTCTGGCCAGAAGGAAAGAAGTATCCCTGCCAGTAACTCCTTAAAAGACTGAGAAAGTATCTTTCCCAGAATTCCATCCCCTGCAAGCCAACCCTGGCATTTCATTGGCCGGAGTTAAGCCACGTGCTCATTCCTCAGCCAATCCCAGTAGTCAGGTGAAAGCCGTCTATTGATTGGCAGGGGCGGGAGGTTTTTCTGATTGCTCTGTCCCTCACCTGGGGGAGTGCATAAGCTTTCCCTAAAGCACCAGGGCTGGGAGAAGAGGAGGAGGGGACAGAACTGAGTATTGCTGGGGAAGAAGGGAAATGGGTACCTGACATCCACTATACTGTGTCATCTATAGAAACTTCCTAATTTGGAAGTAACAGTGAGAGGAAACCTGCTTTTAACTAGTGAAAGTCTGAATCTTAACTACAGCAGCATAATTTCAGACAGAACCTTCCCAAACAGTTCCTGCTGGAAGGCTTGCAATTAGCATCTGCTTTTCAGTATGTCTGAAAACATAGGCTCTTCTAGTAGGTTAACCATGCTTTCTGCAATTCTGCTTAATTTCTCATATGCTTATTCAACCTTTTTATAGCCAGAGTAAACACTGAACTCAAATTCTGGGTTAGTGGGGATTAAATTACATTAATGAATCTCCTCATTGAAACCTTATCTATAGAATGGGAGTAAGAATAGTACTTCCTTTATAGATTTGTTGTGAGGATTAACTGAGGTAATCCAAGTGAAGTGTCCAGTGTCCCAGTAGCTGGCCCAATAAATGTTACCTTTATTAGCATCCTGTGTCTCAAAATATTGTCACATTTATGTGTTTATGTGCACATATAATCTAGGAAATTAACTCTCTTCACAACAAATATATTATTTGTCACTGAATAGTTTAGTTAGAGATGAGGTAAATCAAGGTATTAAAAAAGTTAGTGTTTATGGATTTTTTTTTTTTCCTCTGGAATGGTACTTATTTTAGAATTCATTTTGGGGGAAATCTAATAAAAGAAAATTTTAGGTAGCGTACAGTTAAGTTAAAGGTAGATAGAATCCCTGGGAAAAAAGGGGATTTTCATTTTACAGTCACTTATTAACATATTCTTAGTTGAAAAGTTTTATAAATAGTTGAAGGCCTGTTAATGACGTATCCCAGCTGATTTTCTTGCCTTTGTTCTCAGTTTGGAGGCTCTGGAGAGAGCAAGTGACCCTCCTCAGCTTTGACTTCCCAAACCAGCCATGCCATTGGGCTTTTCTGGGTGGATGGATTTTAGGATCACTTGGATCGGGTGAGATGCTGCAGTAGCAAGAAGCTAGTCTTGGGCATTTATTTCAGTTTAATTTTAACTGACAAAATGCCGTGAATTGTTCTATAAAGCCTTTGGTACCATAAGGCCGACTTCTCAGAATCTCAGCAGGGTGAAGTGTCTTGATTTGGGGGTTCCCAGATTAATGGTACCCTCAAGCTTTAAAAGCACCTGTGTTTCAAAACCAGGAGGAGATAACTTGTTAATGAGGGGTGGGTAGGGTGCAATGAGGGGCCTGCAGATAGAGGAAAAACTTGCAGAACAACCAGGAACTTATAGACCACAAGTTTATAGAGCCTAAAAGTTTTCATACTCTCTCCCCTGCATATTGACTACAATTAGTCTTAAATTTTCTATAGGTTGTTTGTTGGCCCTGAGGATGGTCACCATTGTGGTAACTAGATGAGAACTAGTAATAACTAGACGATTGACCCTAAATTCCTTGTTTCAGACAAGTGGTTCTCATACATAGATCACTTGGATGAAGAAACTGTCAAAAAAAATTGGGAGGGATTGGCCTAGGGCTACCAACTTCTTATTTTGCCATCCTTAGTGGAAGGATGTTTTGAAATATCTAACATTAGCACAATTATCATACAAGAAAGGAACATTTTTTTTTTTCTGATATCACCTATAAAAACTACATCATATTTGGGCCCGGTGCTGCAATCTGTGGGTAACAAGCACTGGGGAGATGGGGAGGTATTTACTTAATGTGCAGTGTAGGGGGGAAATCCAACTTTTTTGAAGATTCTCTTAGAGCCTAGGAGTTCTCTTAAGTCATGTCTTTTTTTGACTTAAAGGAGGAGAAATTCACTTGAACACAAGTCTTGATGAATCCAGTTCATTTTACAAAGAAGGAACTGTTTACTCTCAAGTCATTAACTTAGAATTGTTAGTATAATTTTCTACCAGTAGAAAGAAAATCTTGCAGTACCTAAGTCGTTCCGATTAAAAGGTATATCAAGAGTTTTTCTTTTTCCACAGTTTGACCCTAAAAATGCTAAATGTTTAGTTGGATTTGGCCTTTCCTTGTGTGGTATATGCCTCTATGTGTGGGAAAGCACACACACACTCACACGGGAGGGGGTGGGGGGGAGGGAAGGAGAGAAAGAGAGAACTTAATTTGGTGAAAAGCCCCAGAAAGGAAAGGGTGCTTGTGAGAAAATCAGTGTGTGCATCAGTCAGTCGCTGGTAAGCGTTAATACTTGTAGTAACAATTGCATCTTGGAGCTGCCAACAGAGTATGACTTTTTAAGATGTCTTTTGGAGTCATTAAAAAACCCCAAACATACACCCAACCACCCCTGGCATCCAAAACAGTAATAAAACATTCCTCTTTCTGCTTCACTTCACATGCTTGCTTGGCTTTGCCACAAACATGTTTTGCCTTCCAGCCAGGGATTAAGCTTCTGTGTGAGGCCATGACTGGTGTGAAAGCAACTTCTCTGTCATTGTTGAGGGGGAGAAAAAAACTGCTTGCATGCTTGTGTGAAATCCTGAATGGAATTACAGAATCGTAGTGCCAAAGAGGGTTTTGAGGTCCATGCCTTCCTGCCAGGCTATTTGAATGCTCATCACCCTGACTCACAAAAGGTAACCTAATCCTAATGTGTCAGTGGCCTCTAACATTTCATGGATCCTCTGTGAACAAGGACATGAACTAAGATGTGTCTTTCTGAAGAAAAAGCAGACCGTTCTGCAACACACCACATATGCAGTTCCTGCCCTGTTCACAGCCTCATTCTTGGGCACCGTGTCACTGTTTGAGTCCTGTTTA